GTCATTTGAGATACATATCAAATATGTTTTCACCGGTAGGTACAAAAATATCATAAGCATAAAATTTTAAGAAAATATTTTTCGTTTTAATGTCAAGACTGCTCTTTCTATTTTACAACGGCAGGAATTTATATATGTATGTTCAAGTCCCTACAAGTCTCTCAGCGCAATTCTTCTGCCGTAAAAAGTTATGAAATCAACGTAAACCAAGTCGATTAATTCCGTACCTATATTTCTGTGAGAGCAGCTATCCAACTTATCATAGATACACACACAGCATAATATACCTACGTACCTACTTTTAATCCAATTAAGCACAGAGCAATAACTAGATAGTTTTTTATGTAAGATTCTTTTACTGTAAATATGTTTCTTCGAGTGATTAAAATAGCTAACTTTGGTTTGTACACAAATGACTTAATTAAGTATATTGTAGGTATACCTAAGTATTTTCATTTCATATCATCAGTATATGTACTATTATTTTAATCTCCTTTTTTCTATTTTGTATGAACTTTAGCATAACTGATTTAGTTTTTTGAAAAACAAAATATTTATATATTTTAATACAAAACAAATTTTTAGTGACAATAGTGACGTATGAATTTCCATTATATTTTATTCACCCTTGAAAATTACCACAAAAAATCGGTATACTTTTAACAACAATTTTCAGGAACAAACAAAAAAAAATCATTCGATCTTACCTCCTCCTGTTTTGAAGTCGCTTCAAAGTAATTTGGTAACACAAAATTATCGTTAAAAAAATGTATAGAATTTTTTTTTAAACAGGCTATATTACAAACTCGTAGCGTCATATCAAATGAGCAGAGGTCGGAATTAGGTAGAGTTATTTATGTACTTGCATCGAAATGTTGATATTAATGTGGACCTTCCCGGGATTTCTAATGGACAATCTTGGACATCTTTGGCAACGTCGTGCGTGCAGTAGTTTAAATTGTGTAAAAGTAAATAACTTTTTATTTAAAAAATCACGGGATTTTTTTCTGCTCTTTAAAATTAATCTCGGGATTTGAAGCATATCCACTTTATTCTTTCGCTGTATGAAATCAGTGTAAGTACATGAATAACTCTACCTAATTCTGACCACTGCAAATGAGATATAAAATATAAATAAATTATATCTAATTTGATATGACACAACTGTCTAGAACGCCTAGTATTTTATTTAGCTACCAAAATAATCCTACACCAGTAACGTCATACACTCAAATCAATTATGTAAACACAATAACATCAGTTTGTGTTGTAATATGTTTAAAATATACATCGTTTAAAATATATATTTTACTAAGTTTTGTGCTATAGATTGTGGTATCCACCAATGAAGATTGTTTACTTTCAAATCTATTCCTTTTGCGAGCGAAAAAAGGGACACCGATCCAAAGTATTACGCTAGCGTTGAAAGTAAGCGGAACCCATAGAACTTTTTATTACTGCATATTGGCGTACGAAGTAATGTATCGGAATAAAGTAATGTAAAAGTAATATATAGCGTCACGTAAATAGAGTTTACTTTGCGCTGTATCAGGCCGAACATTTTGCCCTAAAATCCGTACATTAGGTACCTGTCTTTAGGACCGTTTTTAATTTTATAATCATAAAAAAATATAACTTATAAAGTATTTATTAATGTTCCATTACAACGGGCTAATAGTTATAGCTTATGGACAAACTATCCCACTACATATTTGTATAAATTATTTTTATTGATGGTAAGTAATAATAATTTTATTTCATTCAGAATATAGGTATTATATATTTGGAATAAAGGACCTTAACGTCCTTTTCCAAAACCTCAAACTACCTAAATTTCTATTTAAAACGTAACAAAAGAACTGTTTAAAGGATTTAATTTACTAACTGATGGAACTACACGTGTTAGAAATTGCTTGTTTACACAAAACTATTCTAAAATTAGCACATTGTTTTATTAACGCATTAACGAACGACCCATTAACTAAGTAATCACTTAATTAACAGCCGACTGCAAGGCACGCTTTTCGTCACGGATCCGTAATCACCAACAATGGTTTAAACAAAATGATTCATTCGGTTAAAGACCGCAGTTGCAATGAATTTTGTGACGAAAAGATGATGCACTTTATTGGAAGAAAGAAATAAAATACGTTTTATTGAGGAGACTTCGTTTTCTTGCATCAAAAGAACAATATAATGTTGATTATAAACATAAATACTGATAAATATATTCGCTTTCTTATCCCAGAAAAACTAACCGAAAATATAGATCTAAAATGCTGCTTATGCCAAATGATAAGGTTAAAAATTCCTTATTTTTAGTGTAGCATCCCTCAATGATTGTAGGGTATACCTGATGAAACTGTTAATGCAATCCAGTAGTGAATAGGTGGCATAAGTACGTGTAGCATGTCAAACTAGAGAACGTTATGTATACACCTAAATGTCACTTTTCTCATGTATGCATATACGATATCTCGCTCTCGACCTGAGAAAAATGACGTTTTTCGAGTTTCGGCCTGCAAAAATTCACACTAATTTACTTTTGCACACTGTACACAAAGAAGTAGTGCTCTAATATTTGTCAATCGTTACTTCAAATAGTTAAAGTTAACAACCTTGCCTTCAATACCAATAAAAATGCTTTTCTCTTTGTCAGCTCACTTATGGCTAGCATGAGATGACCCAGCAATATAAGTTTATCTATCGCTTCCAGATCTGAAAAGACCAGGTGTTTGGATGCTCAATTTCTCTGTTGACCACATCGGAATTCTGTCGAACATTATTACATCTTAAATATTTTCTATTACTTGTTTAACAAAATAATCTCAGTAGGATAATCAGATACGGGACAGGGTCTTAAAAGTGTGGTGTAACTATGCTATTCTTTAAAAACACATCTTCGAACTCGACGCCGAGCACAGTGCTATCACAGCGTAGAGCTTTAATATTTGTTATCTTTTATGTACGTTTTATTAATTAATTTTGTGACCTTATTGATTTGTATTCTAGGAAATAAATTTATAATAGTTGTAATTTTTATTATTGTTTATTAATAAAGAGATTAGATATTACATACAAATTAATACACTTTGACATGTTTCAGACAAAACGATTAATATATCTAGTCATTATAGTCACTTATTTGACAAGTCAATTATCTTTTCTACCTAAGTTCTACCCGTAACACATCTTTTTTTGCTCTTACATATGTCGGTAAATAAAATTTGTTAGTTTGACAATTGTGAATTTCATTATTGCATTTGAATTTAAGTTATTATTATTAAAATGGACAGTAGATTACGATAAAATACTTACATCAACTTCGTACACCTTTGTTGACATAATTCCTATAAAACCAATCACGAGTTATTAAAAATATTATAAACAAAAGTTAGAATCGAATCGTGGGCAACAGAGACAACTTCGTGTAAAAGGGACGTCTATATTTTGTTGATGTCGATCGAAATGTACAGGCTATGGCGGGGCGACAGGACTGCCACGCCTAGCATTATATCGATTTTAGCCAAGACCATTATAATTTATTCATATTTCTTTTATTACTGCAATATGCCTTTTTCGAGAGACAAAAATGTAGTTAAAGTACGTCTCAACAAGTCTACATTTTATTTGGCTTAAAATATTTAAAATACCAGAGTCTAAAGCTATAATATGTAGAGCTTGCATTTTTTTTAATTGGACTAGCATTGTGTTAGATCAGATGTTTATTATTGGCTACTAAATTGCTGTTCTACGTTCGATGATTAATATTCTGAATGTATAAATATTTATTTAATAAAATGCCAAGCACACCATTAGAATACGAATATACTGATTTGGCCAATTATTTTTAGCTGCTCCAACACATGTTGTCCTCTCCAATTTCATTAATTTATTAGTGCTCGGTTTGAAAATTTATCAAAGTCTAGTGGAAATGTTGGGAATAAACTGACTTATTCTCACTAAAAACTCTGAAAATAGGTTAAGGAAAGAGAAGAATTCTATTAGTATTTGCCAAAGTTCAAATTATGATTTTGATCTCGCCTAATTCTCGAGGAAATTATCTCTTAGTTTTACACTTTTTAGCCGATTCAAAATCGAATGTTCGACGGTGATCAAATAATATAGGTAATAAAATAATTATATCAAAATAATCTAAAAGAGTTAAGTTGCGAAAATAAGGTTCTTGACTTCTGATAAACAGCACTAGCATAGGTAGGTAATATCATTGGAATAATTTTATACAAAAATAGCTTTTGTTCCACATTTCACATATCTCTACATTAAAATTTATCGAGATTTATCTAGTAATAATGAACATATAGTGTTGTATTACAAGAGTTTATATGAACATATCTCTCTCTTATTTTAAATTAACACTTTTATTCTGCCAAAAACGTACAGAAATTTAGTAAGTAAAATTGTGTTCAACAACCAAAACTATCGCTACAGTTTATTAAATGTTGTAGAGTTTCACATAAAAGTAGTGTTGAATGTATTGTAATTAAGATTACCGATTTAATTAAATAACTACCAACATTTATATCTGACACGATACATATTATTAAAACAATATTAAAAACTAGTTTTACAAGATGCTCACTAAAATACTATTTCAGGTGGTATAAAACTGTACTTTAATAATCCTAATCCTATTAATATTATACATGTGAAAGTTTCTTTGGATGTATGGATGTTTGTCCGTCAATCACGCCAAAACTACTGAACGGTTTTGATGAAATTTGGTATACAGAATACAGAGGGTATAAGCTGACTTAGATAATAGTATACTTTTTATCCCACTAAACATTTCCCTAGAATCCACGCGGGTGAAACCGCTGGCGAAAACTAGTATTATCTGTAATCATAGACAACAAGAGACAATAATTATATCTTAATGCGTATATTTTTTAAAGATTATTGTATTATATTTGTGATTTCTAATTTTTACAGCGATATTTTATAATACATATTGACAATTACAAATTGTTTTGTTGCAGAAAAGTTGAGGCTATCATTGTGCGTGGGCTGCGGGGGCCAGATCCACGACCAGTACATCCTGAGGGTGGCCCCCGACCTAGAGTGGCACGCGGCCTGTCTCAAGTGCCAGGAGTGCAGGCAGTTCCTAGACGAATCTTGCACGTGCTTCGTTAGAGATGGGAAAACATATTGTAAAAGAGATTACACTAGGTAGCTATACATTTACTTATTATTTATAATAACAAAGTAGTTGTTTGGACGCTAGAATTAGCTTCAGATATACCAACATTTCATATACAATATTTAGAAATTGTCTAATTTTAAATTTATCGTAATCCTTTTCAATTTCAAAGATATTCACGAACATCACGATACAATACAACTATTTCACATGTAAAAGTTGTTGAATGAACGATATTGTTAATTTGACACTAATTACAATTGTCTTTAAGCCAAATATTACCAAGCTTTATTACGTTTGTTTATCATTCAAATAATCATTCGTTCTGAAAGTGATTGCGAATTTAAACGTTACATAATTGCATAAATCCCTATAACAATAGCTTTGAATTTGAAAGGGATACGAAAGGTTTTAAAATTTCTTAGACAATTAGCCTACAGGTTACAAGACTATCATTTATATGGAAAACAAGCACGCGTTATAAAAGTCTAAGTAAGTATATAATCAAGCACAAATTATAAGTCTTTACATTAAACCATTATCATACAACTAATAACCACCTCCTACCTATAGTCGGGAGAAGTAATTACTTGAGTATAGGTATGTCAGAACTTAAGCAAATGTTTTTAAACCAATTGACTAGAATTTGCATGAAGTAAGAACTGTTATTAGTTAATATTAACGATATTCTAACTATAAGCAGTTCTTACTTCATTCAAATTCTTGATTATTTGGTCAAAATGTCTGCTTAATTAGTTAGTGACAATAGACAGATACGAAGGTTAGAGTTTACAACTTGCGTCGGAAGAATTCAATGCTTATTGGTTTTAAAGTCATCATAGAATATTTAATAGATTCTAGAAACTAAAAAGAGTATCCGATATTGCGGTAATATTTATTACTATGTTATCTTATCAACAGAATTTTTGTCAATAGGTTAGATGCTCTAATTCAGTCAGTCGGATCCCACAAGTCCATTAATAGAACAGTTTATAATCCAGGCCCTACAAAAAGGAATTCATAACCGCCCGTCAATCAAATAACGTCGCGGCGCCACTTTTTATACACAGACACACAAGTCGAATTCACTAAAATAACTCCCCGATGTTTACCTATTCACCCTTCATCTTTCGCTGCTAAAATATAGAATTACACATCGACAAATTTAATAATGCATCCATCACGAAACCACTCGTGCTTCTTAAAGTTAAGCGCGAAAGCATAAAATCGATTGGTAACCTCACTAAAATTTCAATCGACGACGGCAAAATAATGTTTGCCTATGATGCTGTGATGTACCGAAGAGAAAACATGCTGCGTTTGACTGAGCATTATGTATTTTGGCGCCAAAACAAACGTCACTTTGACAGCGCGGCGGGCGGCGGCAACCCGATAGTCCATGGTATAGAGTAAACATACTCTGTGGTATGTTTGTTCCCGTTTATATCGGCCGGGATAAGCCGGTTTTCGGTTACTTTTTGTGTAATGGACATTTCGTAAATATTGTCAAATCCGGACATGATTCAGCATAAGAAAAATCATGTACTTACCTACTTTTAACATAACCAAATTGACATATCACACTAGATATGTATTAAATAACAACGAAAGTATTTTATTGTAAATGTCTTGTCAGTATTAACCAAGCATAGTATAATAATAATATTATATGCTTAAATTATTTTTCGTTATAGTTTGTTTAGATTTTTCTCATCTTACAGCTTCTAATTGATCGCTGACAGTACATCCGCTTTTCCTGTAGTTACGACACACGTCGGAAATAACATGTTTAACTACAAGGTGTTAGTTTTCCAGTACATATATTCCGTTTCCGTTCTAGTGTTCGTAAATAAATTTTTCGGATATTAACTCGAATGATATAGATCACGGAGTCTATTTTGGGTAAGGGGTAGAGACCCCTTACCCAAAAAGAAGAAAGCAAGAGTGCTTTAAGGGTCCTTTAGAATGAGAACTGATACTCTTTAGACCCTTATGACCAAATGACATCAAAAATATTATCTCTAATGTTTTCCTATTGATACAAACTATTTCTTAAGTATAATAATGATAGTTTACTTCTTCCAGTTGTTTTTATTAATTATAGCAAGTAGTTTCACGTGTGGCAATTGTTATACAATAACTTTAAACTTTCAATTAAGAAGTTGTGACAAATAGGAGTCGATTTTTAGATTTGTTGGTCAACTTTTCTTTTAAAATCTGGAAACACATTTCGAGCACACAGAGACCACTTTAGGAAACTCTCATGGTGATAATCGGTTAAATAGTATTCCCTGTGCCTCTCGTTTTCACTTTGAAATGATGAGCAACTTAGTCGGGACTAATAATATGATAGTACCTAATATTCGACGCACTAGTCACTCTGTGAAGACTTTAAGGACATAGACAATTTGCATTTGTATATCAACCTCTGGTTTATGATACTAGAATATGTTGTTATAATTCCCGCAAATTGATGACGTAATAGTGTTAAAAAATCAGTTCAGTTGACAAATAAACACTGGTTGGCAAGTACACTTACTGAGTTGGGTTGTGGTCAGATCACACATAATTTTTGTTGGTTTCGATTGGTATTGTTAAGTTTTTTGTAACTTGTTATGGTTGACTAAAATAGCAACTACTATTATGATTTTCACGTTATGTTAACTTATTTTTAATAATAATTAATTTTACAATTACTTTTGGTTATGTTTTAAAAAAATATTTCAGTCTGTTTTCGCGTTATTACAAGGTAAATGTAATTTTTTCCATATACTTTAATATATAATATAAATTACCACTTTTCCAATAATTCATGAAACAAATTAAGAAACTAGAAGTTATATAAATACCTATTTCAATAATTAATATATTCTTAATGAAAACTGCTTAAAAAATCCACGTTGTTCCTGACGCTCTGAGATGAGACAAAGTGGATTTTCATTCAAAATATTTTTCAGTATAGCATTGTAAATGAAAAATTAATCAAATATAATATACTTTCCATTTTCATAAGACTTCATGCGGTTGTTATTCAGAAAAGGTTCTAGCGCATTAGCAATTTACGGACTGATAAATTACGGTAACGAAAGTAGTAAGTACACGATTAATACACTTTCACAAGTAAAAGAAAAACAGTGTTGATGAAATCCGTAAAGTAAGAGTAAAAAGTAAAGCTTTCGGCAACCTTAGTAGTTAATTGCATCTGACATGATAAAATTACGCCGATAAAAGCCCGTCTGAAGCCAATTTTTTACATAACTCCCCGTCATACATGCGTTATTTTACCCGAAATACTAAAAGTGTGTTTAGTATTTCGGGTAAAATATCGCATATATGTGATTTATTTATTCCATCATAAATTTTAAATGACTAAACGGATTTGAATTTGTGGGGTTCATTAGAAACGTTACGTCATCCTATGATTCTGGCGATAATTTTTTAAAATATCTATTTATGGCTAATGTGATGTGGATGTCAAACAATTTTTTTTCATTAATCATAGCAATATACATATATGAAATCAAAGATAAATTCAAAAAAACATATAATTTATATACCTACATTATTTTACATAGGTTTTATCTATAAGAAATACATTTAAAAAAAAAGGTAAGAATTAAAACAAAATAAAAACACGAATGCGGAAATAAAAAAGAAATGTAAATGTAAAAAAATCGTTCTGTAAAACACAAATTAATATAATCGTGTTTCCTTTTGGTTCGTTTTTAATAGTATATATTTTAATATTGAAATTATTCACAGTATAATTGTTATTTTTGATATTTTTTCATTTACAATGCTATTCTAATTTTTCTTTATTGTATATATAAAGAAAATACTTATAGTCTATCAAAATAAGTAAGATATCTTGATGCCTTAATAGTCAGTCCTTTGACCCGTGACAGTGTCATCACTATTGCCTGGAAATAGCACGGGACAAACATCTGTAACCCAACACGGGCGTATAAAATATCGCTAATTGTCGGGATGCGCCGTTGGCTCCGGGAATGTATTTATTTTGTTTCCTGACATTTAACTAAAACAAACATCACATTATATCTACACTTTCATTTTAAAATGGAGTTGGCATTTAAAATAAATAATACTTATTATATTTAGTTAAATTTGGTATAAAGCGCAACACATATCGACTTATTTTTAATATGCAGTTAAGTACAATTAAAAAGGACGACTTAAAAGAAAAGAAAAAATACTGAATAAATACTTTTCCCATTAAAAGTCTTCCTATCAAAGTAAAAAGCGCGTTATGGGTCTGTATAACAAAAAAAAGGTTCAAAATCGATCTAGGTTTGTAGGGTGAACTAAAATTAAATCAAGAAATAAAATTGAGTTAGAAATTCAAACCATTATGAAAAGCTACGTCATCAATCTTTACGTTTTGTCAAAAATTTTTAACTTAGGGTATAGGCAGAATCGATTTTCCTTTAGCAAGGTGTGTGATTGATATGATAGTAGACAGGCTGACAAACTCAGTATTGAATGTGAAGCAATTAAGGTGTAAGGTAGAGGTTATTGCACCTTTTCATTAGTGGTGCTAGTACCAAGCCTGGATTTTATTCTTAACCTTCGAGACCGAGAGTTTTAAATATGAGCTTCTATCTACTCTAGAATTAACCTATTCATCAAAGCTAAGGAGATAAAGGCCATGAAAAACTTACTATTTCATTATAAGAATTTAATTATGATCAGATGTTCTTTCAAAAGTATTCATTGCAAAACGTATTCATCCCTGTATAGAATCGATTTTTATAGGAACTTTAAAAAGTGGCCTACATGATAATGTAACGATTGCTGGAACAAAACAAAAATCAGTCAATTTTTACAGATTTATAATTTCCGGGCTCATTATATTATAGAGAAGCGTCACAGAACAAAACAAGTGAAAAAATATAAACATTTCCCCCCAAAACCATTCAAAGCGTGCAAAGGCATTCCCGACGCTTTTCCATTCAGCTAGCGAGGGGAAGGCTCGACAAAACCTCTAAGTATATTTTTAAGGCCCTCCCCAGGGAGGTTATTGACCGGCACTTAGACGAATGAGCCCCCGGCAATCTCGCTAAAAGCATCCGCTATACGTAGCGTAGGTAGGGTTAACTGTGTATTGGTACACCTGCACCGCACGCGGGGGTTGGCCGCGAAAAATGTTTTCACAAACAAATATTTTCTTTTACTTTAGGTGCGAAAATGTTAAAGCGCCAGTTAATTACAGGTTATTTTTAAACAATTTTCCTCTTTAATTTATTAGTTGTACAAACGAGAAATTAAATTATTGCTTTGTACAAAACAAAGAGGACGACCGAGAGCGAGTAGCTTGTATGCCGGTTTCAATTTGTCGCCATCTCTGAGGTACCGGATTCGATTCCTGGTCGGCTCAATATTGAAAATTTCCATAATAAAATTGTTTTAGACAATTAATTTGGGATCTGATAAATGTATGTGATATCGTCTAATATTTAATTATTTATTATTTAAGTAATGGAATTACGCCAGTTACTCTTTCAAAAGTCCATCAAAAAGAAATAATTGCTAATTAAATTTCAACAAGAATACCGCCATTGTGAACCTTAAATTCACTAATTGAACATATTTGAAGGTTCAAACAAATCTTACCGATTCATCCCAATCTAAAATCTTCACGATAAATACAAATAAAATATTCCAATTATCGTGCCTGTTTTTATTGATAGCCTTGTGAATAACCAAGGATTTTTTTTGTAACGGGACCTAGCGCGTGTAATTTACAGATTTCATAAAATTTTTAGTACACTTTTCTTTTGTAATTTATTACTTAATTAAATTTCATTGCTAATTTATGTATGTTTTGTGTTCGAAAATAGGTATATGATCTGAAAATAAGTCACAAAAAATACGTCTCTTTTTTGTTATCATTTTAACGACTTGCCTAACCATAATTTGCGAATTTCTCTCGCTAATTGCATTGCATATAAGTAAATAAATCATGAATAAACAAAATCATTTCACATTGATAGTTCTACTCTTTTTAACTCTGTGTTTTTTTTTCAGGTTATTCGGTACTAAATGCGATAAGTGCGGAGCGTCATTTAGTAAAAACGATTTCGTGATGCGCGCCAAAACGAAGATCTACCACATCGACTGTTTCCGGTGCTGTGCATGCGCTAGACAACTTATACCCGGTAAGATAGTAGGGATATTTCATAACCATATATACATTTTTAAACTGGTTAGCATTTTAGCCAACTTCATATAAAGAAGGTTATCAATTTGACTTGTATGCAATGTATGACGTACGCGTAATGTTCATATAAGTATGTAAGTCTGTATGAGCTTTTAAACTTTATAAGAATACCGACGTATGTTTGTCCACAAATTTCTTGTAAATCAGACATCGGATTGCAATGTATTTTTTTTTATTCATTCATTGCTGAATTTTTTGTCTGTTCTTGTTATTTGTGTGTGTAGAGTATGTATAATTATAATATCATTGTATGTAAACATGTTTTATAATTAGCTATATATTATGTTATTATATTTATGTGATATTTATATATGTTATTAAAGAGACGGGGGAGACTATATGATATATACATGGTCAAAAAGTATATAAATATAGATTTATATTTTACATTTCCTTATAAATAAAACGTATCAAAACAGTTTTACTTAATTTTGCACTAGCAATTTAGAACAGTGTAATATATTTTTTTCACATTTGATATTCTGCCTGTCGGTCTGTCCAAGCTACAATTTAGTCTGTTTCTGTTGTTTAACTGTGACTTCCTCCACGTAAATTATAGAAGAAATTATGAGATCGTTCCAGTAGTTTCGGAGCATATTCGACGCAAACAAACAAACAATCAAATATTTCCTCTTTATAATATCAGTATAGATATTAACAGATACGAGCATCCGTTTCCGACCGTACGACGCGATTGTTGTGATCGTTCCCTGCCCTACTTCCCGTTTACGCAGCGTGGACAGAACACACCTGTTTTGATTGTCTATCACCATCTTTATATTAGACTTTTAATTATCATATGAGTGTTAAAATAAATGTACACACCTAGCTGTTTCTTCAATTATTTCTTATTACACTTGTTATTGCTAAGTCTTCCAATCAAAGGAACCTTTCAACCTTCAGAATAACTCCGAAATCCGATTTGGTCACATGAAGGGATTTTTATTGCAATAACGACCTCGTGGCCTCGTGCGGTCGAGTGGCTCGCAAGCCAGTTTCAAGGGTCGCTATATCTGATGTCCCGGGTTCGATTCGTGGTCGAGTCAATGTAGAAAATGAACTTTTCTCTGTTGCTTGGGTTGTGTTTCCTTCGTTGTTTCAAATTTCTATAATACAAGAGTTTTTAATTACTAAGTTTGGGTTAGAGCAATGTATGTGATGTTATCTAATATTTATTATCAGGCGTTTCTCTTAGACTTCGTACGCGTAAATTTTAGTCTATCTCAACCCTGTATGATGTCTCATACCCGTAGATGAAGAAATTTTTTAAATCAGACGTAGCCTATTCGATGCAAACAAACAAATAAACAATCTAATTTTTTCTCCTTATAATATTGGTATAGATTTATAAAAGAGGTATATGATAAACCTCTTTGACTGTACTTTAATGAATATTATTTTACTTCACAGGTGACGAGTTTGCGTTAAGAGAAGGAGGCGCATTATATTGTAGAGAAGATCACGACGTCTTAGAAAAGGTATACAATATTAATACATATAGAGAAGAATCTCAATTGTATGCATTATTGTTTTATTGTTTTGCTTAAAGAATCCCACTTTCGTCACATATTTAACGTTTCATCTTTAAAGTAGGAAGCTCATGTCATGACTTTGGGTGCTAAAATAAACAGCGGTGATTATTTTATAGACTCAGCTTTGCTATTCTGTTGAAAATACAGCATCGAATATGGTGTCGAATAAAGCGCTGTCGTAGCATTTGACGTTGAAAAATTAAACCATTATTACCTTTAGAAGTAGGTTTTATAGGATATCCTGGCGCCGCGGTCTATTCGACTCTTTATTTTAACAGAATAGCGGCTAAACAGCTGGACTACAGAGAGATTTTGTAAAAATCCGAACAATAATAAAAATTCAATCATTTGTCCGGATTCACGTCATTAAGTGTATTATTTTATTGATTCCATTTTTGTAAGAATATAAAACAAGATTGATTCATTCGTGACTCAAAATTCCTATGTTATTTTTGTAGTAAATTTGGATACCTGAGTGAATTCGAATTCGGGTTTGGATTTTTTACAGAATCGCATGGCTAACCCTGTAATATTTGGAACTATATTACAGGGTTAGCCATGTGAATATTTGGAACTATATTGTAATATAAATTATCATTTTACTAATTTAAAATTAACGTGAGAAGAATACATGGAGGTGGAGGGATAATGTTATCTTTAAACGGTCTATTTGCTCGACAGGAAATATCTCATGTTTTTTAACTCATAAATATTAGACTTTTTGCTTGTCGTTATTGTAGCAATAGGAATAACGAGAATTATCGAGAATAGTAACATCGAAGCGCAATGTTTTTATTACCTATTCGTAATCAGGATTGATTTACTAAGCCATTGATTGTAACCGTGGAAATTTTTAAAGTACATAAATAGATTATGTGAGTTAAAAATGATGGTAACATAAATACGGCTTAAACCACTTGATTATCTAAAGATATTTGTATTGAAATTATACTACAGGCATACGTAAATCATTAATTTGTTTCTGGAGTATTAACTCCAGTTAGTTATAAAATAAATAAAAATAATAGGTATGTGTAGCAAAAAAGAAGATTGTTATACATGAGCAATAGACTCAGTTTAAACCCACTCGATATCTGAATTGACACCTAATATCAGCCTTCTAATTCCTTATAAATTAAAATTGGTAAACGACTAAAAAACTCTTATTTAGAACTATTGTTTATACAAGATTGCTTCTCGAGTTCCTGATATTTCAGAACTGTTGCAAGCAAAGACTCGTTATAAAGTAGACTGATATACCTGCCAATAACATCCACCCACAAAAACTTCAATCACTCCGTAATAATGGCGCTACAAATAGAGCCGAATTATCGAAAACTCGAAAAAATATAAGGTACCTACATAGTAGCACTCCCGTATTGAACAATCGTTTCTAATATAAATCTTTTTTACTGCAGAGTTCAGCAACCAGCGGTGGAAGTACCAATGCAGAAAGCAACAACAATACAACCTTAAATAATAATAACTCGCACCATCCGCACGAACTTGGATCCATGTCAGGTGAGCATACTAGAATAGGAATTATGGAGATACTATTATCTATCATCAGCCTTATAAATAGAACCGTAAAGCGGGAAATTTACTAGACGGGCATGCTCGCGGGCAAGTCTACAGACATGCCTGCCAAGCCTCGTTGCTGTAGGTCTGTGTAATGACCGCGTTGACAACTCTACACTAGTCATACATGCCCGCCCTATACCTAACGAGGTCTGGTCCGTCTAATAAATTCCCCGCTTAAAGAGAGAAACTACCACGGTAGCCTGGGATTGGTAAGGGAAATAATTAATTACTGCTGGTGTAATCAGGGGTACCGACTTACCGTGTCTACCGAAATACAAAGTTCCGAATAATATATTCTTGATCACCATACACCGTAAAACCCTCGGCTACGAAGTAACACGCATATTTATCAAATTCCCCTATATAAAAAAATCTTTGTAAAAGGAGTATAATTACGAGAAGTAATGGGAAAATATTGAAATATTTAAGCACGACTATATAATTTCTTTTATCGAGTAAATTTCATGTTTTACATACAATATCTTTATTATGACATAAGGTGATTCTGAGGCCAAGTATAAATCCGTAGTTGTTTAAATTTTTCTCAAACTTCAATTAGTCATAAAACAAAACTACAAAGAAAATAAAGTAAAATAAATTACAACTTAATATTTTCTCAAAATTATCAACTGCTCATATCTTCTGACACGTTCGGGGATGGTGACCATAATAGTGAATGGAAGATAGTACTTCTTATATATAGCACTTCTTTGACTTAATGACAATTTCACACAAGTCTACATGTCAAGGAAATAACACTTAAGTATATTTGAGTTCTGTATTTTTTATTCATTGTACTACTATGGTGATATCTCACACATCAATCAGCTTATAGTGTTTCATATATGTAGGTACATGCAGTTTACCAAAATCTGTATGTCACTCAAAAAATCCATAGTGCTGCCTATACGGTTATCATTTTACATTCATAATTGGTCTTTATCGGTGAATACACGACCGGTCAAGTGTCGATAGTGTTTCGCGATCGGTCTGTGATTGTTCGATAAGCGTTTGATGAGCGCCGACAAAGGCGCCGACCGCTTTGATAGTACCGCCGGAGATCGTGTCATCGTTTAGTTCTTTTTTTATCATTTGTATTGGTTTTAGGGAAAGTCTTATTTCACATGCGTCACTAATTGCGAGACCCATGATCGGATTCAGTCATTTTTTTAATTTTCCTTTTAAGCTCATTCAGTCAGCTCTGTCACTTGAAAGCGATTACAAAATTACTCAAAGATTCAAAGTTTGTCTTGGAAGGTACTTTGAAGTGAGTACCCACACAGGCTTACAAATGTATAGAATATTATTCTCTTGCATATTTTTCGGTTCGGTTCATTATTACATATAGAGTTTTATGTAATGAGTAAGTATGTTGTAAGACCTTAAAATGAAAGTTACAATATTCCTAAATAAATGAAACGAAATAAATAACCTTAACACTGAAAAATTATATCAGGATCTTGTATGGGTGACAAAGATATTATTTTTGGCGTGACAGAGACCTTAATGAAAATATCAAGTGTCTGTCTGTAAACCCCAAAACAAAGAAGTAAAAATAGAGATTCATCGCACATAAATTATTTTTATTTTTCCAAGCGAAATCGTAATAAATAGTAGTAAAACAGTATGTTAATATCTTTTTTTCGATAAATTATGGTTCAAAAGACAGTCCTGTGACAGACACATACAAACGAACAAACAGCGGAGGCATATTAATAGCCGCTAAAACATAGGGACATTCATAAGACAAGAAAAAAATATTTTGAAAAATTAATTCATCATGCTTAGATAAAATGTAGCGCCATTCTGATAAATCATTTATTATTTTGTTAAATTTGTATGATTACTTCTTTGATCTTGATGATAATCAAATATTGAATAGATTATATTTCAATAACAAAAATGCAGAAGGGTCAGTTCTAATTGCGCATGTATAGAGGTATTATAATGTCCAGTGTCGGGATTAACGTAGGTGTGAAATGGTATTATAGACTTGACATTGTTATCTGTAGATCCCCTCGACTTCAACATGGGGGTATGAAAGTTAGATTTGTTAATTATTGAAGTACAATCGAGGAACTTACAGCTTTTACAATTGACACATAAAATTTTGAAACATTTCGCTAAGAAATTAGCTAAAAGTAAGTCGAATTTATATTAAAAAAAAAACTTTTATGATTGATTGTAAGTATAGAAGGCAATGGCATGTTCTATTTCATTTCTGTCCATGGGGAAGACATTTATGATCCATAAAAAATTACATAATATGTTGATGATAATTAACTGTTCACTGCGGTTACTGTTAAATATTTTCTTTCAATTAGTTGTTTTTATATTTAATAATGAGGCTTATCTTTTAATTTTCCAGATTCTGGAAGTGAATCAGGTTCCCACAAAAGCGGTCGCGCTCGCACCACTGCAGCAGCCGATGGCAAACCGACGAGAGTACGAACTGTTCTAAACGAAAAACAATTACATACTTTAAGGTGAGTGGATATTCTATATTGATTAATACTAATATATCAGAAAGAAAAAATATAATAAAATAGAAAACAATACTTATCTTAAGTGAAAAAGTATTATTTTTCACTTTTTTAAATTTGAAGTCGGTTCCATTATTTAAAGCTTTTATTTCATGCATTTTAGTGATATTTTGAATTTTGGGGTTACACACATCACGCATACTTAATGCAAATTTAAGACTTAGGTATATGGTTTCCACATAGAATCCATTGCCAGATGGATTCTATGGACCAAATTAAAATGGGACCGCACGGCAAGTACTAGCTTTCAAATAAAGAATCATCAAAATCGCTCCACCCAGTTAAAAGTTATGAAGTTACAAAAAAAAGTCCTCCTTTTTTTAAAATTGAGAATCTCGTTTTTTGAAGTCGGTAAATAATCTTTCTAACTTTGTTTGTAGGGAGTAATCTTCGGAAAGACTGATCTGATCATAAAATTATTTCAGCTACAGTACCTATGCTACACGCGAATGACATTTATGTGGGTGAAGTCGCAGGAAAACAGCTAGTTAAAATATATATATCAATGTAACATTTATTGATAGTACCTACTATCTATTAGATATTATCGGAGTCTTTAGACCCTCAAATGAGGTTTGACTTTAAAACACGCATTATATTCGTACTTTATTTATACGTACGTACAATCGTTTACTAAATAAAACTTTCAAAATGTATCTATCACCTAGTCATTTCAAGTTTTGGAAAGTACTTGCGTATTACAGAAAGTATTGCCATAATTTTCATCTGATAGTTAAAAAAAAATCCGCCAATAACTACTAAATTTTATTGTTATGCATTTATCTTGTGGGTGAGATCTTTAAACCTTTGCAAGATTGCAATTTGTTCGGGTAAATAAAGGAAAATTCAGTATAGATAATTAATAATTATGATTAATTAATAAAGATTAATTAATAAAGATGCAGTTGGATACATGAGGGCTTTCCCTCATGTATCCAACTGCATTATTTTTCATACATAATTCTTTGAACGGTTCTCGTTGAAAGCAAAGGCACAGTAATAGACCACAAACGCCTATATCAACTGTTTTGAATTTGACTTAAACTATTTACAGGACATGTTACGCAGCCAATCCTCGACCTGACGCGCTGATGAAGGAACAGCTGGTAGAGATGACGGGTCTCAGTCCTCGCGTCATCAGGGTCTGGTTTCAAAACAAACGGTGCAAAGACAAGAAGAAAACGATTCAGCTCAAGATGCAGATGCAACAAGAAAAGGTATAAATAAATTATAATGTTGAGTATATTATACTCAACATTAAGTACTTCCCTATATTGTTCAAATTCTAAGGTAATTAGCTAAAACTCATGTGTTATAGAACTCCGAAACAACGAATGCTACTATATACAAACATCAACCAATAACAGTATTTTCATCATCACCGTATCAGTTTGAAACGTCCATAGCTTTATCCAGCAAATAGGCCTCCCCCGAAAATCTCCACAACGATTGGTCACGCGCGGTCTTCCTCCAACGCTTCCCAGCGATCTTAACCAGGTCGTTCGTCGGTCCTCCTACAAGATAGACCGACTCGGACTTTGCTGCCCCAACAACTTTGCCTATTCCCGCTTTAGGCTCGCAATTCCTTAGGTTATGTCGGTTGCTTTGGTTCGTCTGCGAATCTCCTCATTTCTGATTTGCGCTCGCAATATTCTGAGTCTATTTATGAGCTCCACAATTAGCGATCACGTCGCTGTCCTGTAAGTCATCATCGGCAACACATTAGTTTATGCCATGCCAACTCTTACGTTTATGAACATACACGAATTTCCAACAATAACAGTTGGTTGATTTGAACCAGCAAATAAATTGAATGATTTGTAGTTCTATCCCGTAGTTAAATTTGTTTTAGATACTGCCTTCTGAATATATGGTGCAAGACATCCCAATTGTACACTATGATTATATGTCGGTGTGCGAAGTCGGCCAATTATGCTAGTCCGACGTACGTTAGACATGAAAAGTGAATGAATGGTGTATAAAATGTATTATCGGTGACAATATTGAAAGTAATTCTAATTTGTATTGCAGATTTTATATAAATATTTATGTGTGGAAGTCGCAACGCAACTACAGTAGAGTTATAATATTTGCATCGAAATGCCGAGTAGATTTTATTATAACTTTCGTTAATAAAATTATTTTCATTTTTGTTATCACCAAAAAATGTCTTAAAATTGAGCATCTTAATTAAACTTAAATAAGTGCCGTATGTCTAAAAAAATGGTTACTCTTATTTAAAGATCTTAAAGGTCTTCGTCGGTGGCCATAGCTTAGAGCAGGTATTCTCTAAAGACCATAGCGAAGAATTGAATTAAAAATCGCAATCCATTTGCCGAATAAAAATTGTTTAATGCTTCTTAAAAAAATACACCTTTCTATTTATTCAATCCGTTTGTCCATCCATCATCCATCCACCATCTGCCAATATAACTATTTGGTAAAAATAAAAACTTAAGAATGATTTCGTGAAAAATAAAAAATAGCATCTTTACTATTTATCGATTTAAAATCACGTGGTGGTGGAATGGTGTTGCGATTTCCCCGTTATCCCATGGCTAACGTGCGTCGGGTGTGGCAGGAGGGGCGGCGGCTGGGCTACATGTCGCTGGGTGTGCCGCTGGTGGCGGGCTCCCCTGTGCGGCACGAGGCTGCGGCGGCGGCGCTGCCACTCGAGGTGACGGCGTACCAACCACCATGGAAGGCGCTCTCAGATTTCGCTCTCCACGCTGACCTTGACCGAGCGCCTCATCATAGCGCCGCCTTCCAGCATCTCGTTAACCAGGTCAGTTTTCCTTATATAGAATAGGTCTACTTCTCGACGCTCGTGCTTAAGATTATGATAATGATATACCAAGGTACTCCCGGACTTCGTGCTTCACGCCACCCTTGAAGAAGCACCATATCCTTCCAGCATTTCATCTACCAGGTCAAAGACACTAAGTCTAATTCTACCGTCAGTACGCACCTAATGTAAGAAGTTAAACCACTATTAGGATAGCAGACTTATTGTCACTCTTTCAGCACCTCAAGATTCTTGTTTCATGGGCACACGATATTCGTTTCTGGAATTCACCAGTCTTTGTCCAACGATACACGTCATCAAGTCACGTCAAGTCCACCTGTTGCTCTTTTAACATTATATCTACCCACCTTCTTTCTTACACTTAATAGACTATTTCCAATTATAAGTAGTCTCATACAGAATCTAAGAAAGTCACATTTACATTGACAAAAGCCGACTTGTCCGTCGGCGCTGGTCCGTCGGCTGCCCCCATTCATTGAGACTAATTTCGCTGTATCACCTTGTAGCGATATTTATGTACCTAGATAATATAGTTTACATATTGTTTATGTCACGGATGTTAGACGCAAATTGCCATCTTTCATTAATTTCATTTTTCATGTAGAAATTAATTTGTTAACTTGACATTGGCAGAATTGTGCGAAATGCGCAGATAAGCCATTAATAAAAGGAGGAGAAAAGAACTTCCAGAGTTCTATATATTATACAATTTGTTAGTGTATCTAAGAAGCGTTTGATTTATAACATCCGAATCGTCCAAGCTAACGTTGACATCAACATTAATATTCCGGTCAAGAACACACTACTCAACCCCCAAAACCTATTCGACCAAGCCGAAATCTCGAAATCGCAACATAGCGATTGCTTTAAAAGGATTGATTCTTTCCACATGTCAAATACAGAATATATGATCCATACCTTGTCAACTAGAACGGTCTTTATTTAACATAATCTCTTCATCATTAACCTATTAATAGCTCTAATATTGAATGCCAGCATCTCTTAAGGTAAACTTAAGAACATAAACACGTAGTAGCAATGTAGCCGTGATTAACTGCCTAACGTAATTTCAAAAAAGAATGGTGCCAATAAAATTTTAGTTAGCCATATCCAGCTTTGTCCAAGAAAGTTCAATGAAGCTCTGCTTATATCCACTGCGACCTACATTTATGCCTAAATTGCCTATAACCATCGCCTTCCAAATAATGGTCTCGGGAATGGTTCAGAAATTAAAATAACAGTATGCATTTTTTCTATTCTAAACAGATGCACGGTTACGATGTACCATCGTTGCCGCCGCCTCGACCTCCGCATGGCAGTGAAGAGAATTACGTCACTTACCTCGAGAGCGACGACAGTCTTCCACCCTCACCCTAGTGTCGTCTCACGTAACCGCCTCCAGACGAACGAGACGGATCATCAATAGACAAAAATATACTTGTTTAATAAATAGTAGATTACCATCAGACATGGAAAGTCGCTCGTGTCGATTAATGATCCACTAGAATTGATCTGAATAGTGTCGAACTGTAAATAGTATCCTAAACCTGTATATTGCTTGAATTTTTTGTATGACCAATCAACAGATATTTAAATTGAAATACTATGAATTTTTAGAGGTGTTATGTCTTTTGGGTGGCGTTAACTAATGCAAATGAAAAGTATAGGTATAAATTAACTTGGGTTCAATATCAACTTTATTACTTTTCCGTTTGTATTCACCGGGAGATTATTATGTATAATTTTATATGTCTATATAGATCTTGATGTCGGCCTTTAAGGTATTTAAATATGTATTTCACTTCCTTGACATGTCTAGCTTTATACCGTATTGTGTTGTGTCTCAACAGAAACATGAAAGGCATTTATGAAAGTGATATATCAGTTTCATAAATACCTTTTTACAGATCAGAGCGACACACACAACACAACATAAAGTATATCTGAGTGGTAAGTCGCGTTCATTAGTCAGCGCGTTATGAATTTGTGTGAATTTATAGTTCTTGATAGTTACCGCTAGGGGCGCTGTACCATATTCCATACTAAAATCTTAACGCGCTCACGATCGACGGTGCACTTAATCGTAAAAAACTTATACTACTGACCTATGTATAAAACTGATATAATACTGACACATCAGTTTCAAAAGACACATGAATGCGTTTCCATAAAAGACGATGATTTTTGTCCTTAATAAATTCTGATATTGCCGTCCGATCAGCACAGTAGTGACCAATCTGATCTTGAAAAGTGGGTCTTGGCTTGTCCCGCCTACCACATAATGCCATAAATATTTCTTTTGTCTTTCCACAAGTCGAAACCAACAAAGCATGCCATTCTTAACGTATATAACAACACTAGCCTTCAGGTCAATTCTTTTAATTTTACCAAAATTCTGTTCTTTTTACAATCTTTTTAATATATTGGGCTCAGTGCAAATTTTTATATTAGACTTAAAAACGATGAACAATCACTTGCCAACCTATTTCTATTAAGTACCTATAATTTAAATATATTTTTAATTGTTGCAAATAAAATAATTATTTATGTGATTACCATTAGTTTTAGCCGCATTTTAGTATTAATTGTTTGACGAATTTCTTTTACGTAAAATTAAGTTCGCCATTTATTATCAGTAATGAGATCTGTTAGCTTTTTAATGTTTATACTTTTTGTAAATAAACTTGTATAAAATTGAATATAAATATCCTTAGTTTGTATAAGTATTCTAAGAAACTTTAATGTAAGACCTTTAACTTCAAAATATGTGTTTATTATTAATATATATATATATATAAACAGGAATCAGTTTCTAATTATTTTAATTAAAATAGAAATGTACATAATCCGATATCTATTTACGAATTAAATGACAAATATTGCACATTAATTGTCTACGAACTTTGTCCAAATTTGTGCTACATGTAAATTAACCATGTTTAATGTTTATATGCGTACAGTAATATATTGTGCTGATCTTTGATAGAGATTACCAGACGTTAATTTATTCAGTAGTTAATCAAACATTACACTGTACTTAGATTGTGAGCATAATATTAATAAAATTAATGAGTACCTATTTGATCACTTATTTATTGTCTTACCCAGCTGCGCAAAGGATTAAACTAATAATAATTTTAATGGACGTGTATACATTTGGGAGTTTAGACAGTTTCTTCCTCTAGAAATTAAAATAAAATTATTTATAAGTAATTGCCCTCTCAAATTATAGACTATGTCACCCGCACACGATATAGCTTCACGAAGGTGAAAGAATTTTTAATCAATCAGTTTCTGGAACTTTATAATAAAATTATATAATAGAAAGCTACATAATTTCCTTCAAAGCGAAATAGCCAAAGAATACCTAAATAATATGCAGTAGGTATAATAAATGTCTAGTATGAGAGGGCAATGTTATTATAAAGATAAAATACTTGTCACCTATCGAGAAAACAATTGAATGAGGTTTTATTACGGTATTTTTGTTACATTATGGCATATTTACGTACACTGTCTGAATCTGAGCAATTCCGATGATGTTGTTTCATATTTAATTTAATGTATTTAATACGGTAACTGTCGGTAGGCTCAGCATGCGGATTGCGGGCGAACTTTCTCATTGATCAATAAAACAATGATTGACTTATGAAAGCAAGAAACAGAAATCGGGCGATTCGGGATCAGAAAAAATCGGATGTCATTATTTTATCTGACCACAGAGATCACATGACCTTTAAAAATAACTGACATTGAGTCCGTTAGGCATTGCCACCTTCTTGGATTTTCAAATGAATTCTTGCCACATTCAAGTCTCTTATAACTATCACTCAGTTACGAAATAAGGACAAATAGTCAAGTTACGTATTTTCGAAGATAAACAAGAGCAGTGATGGAAAAATGCCAGGGCATTTGTGGCGAATTGGGTTTATTCCCAATAAGCCGCCATAAATTCCCACCTACTGGGCATTTATATTTTTGAACAAAATTTATCTGAAAATTAAACAAAAGATCAACTAGTAGACTCAGTTGTGTTTTTTTGTTAAAGATAGTAAATAAACATTACATTGAAAGTATAAGTTTTAAAGTTAGAAACATGATTTTTTTTATTTTAAGGCTACATTTAAAAAAAATGTAAATACCTCTTTCAGCGATTGTGAAAATTCTACTCTTGAATGAGTATGCTTGAATGTAGGGTTGAAAGTTTACGTAGAAGTATATTTTTTTATGTTAGGGGCGTGAAACTTTTTTTTTGGACCATTGATTATTAATGACTAAATTCTTACTATCTAACGGGCCAAATAGAGGTTTTAAAGTTCCTAAACAATATCACTTAAATTGTAATTGTAATGTGCCGTGTAGTATACAATAAAACATACATTATTAATAATCTAAATAATCTGTTTTATTTCACACACAGAAAAATGAGCATTCAAATAACTAAAAATATTTTCACATTATCAAAATAATATACATACATACCTACCAACAGATAACTCACAATTATTAAAAATAATAGGATATCAACTTTACTTTTCAATATGTATAGAAAAAAAAACAAAGTTCTATATTAACTTCTTTATTCTTCATGTAGCCAAACACAACAACGACTTATAAACCACTTCATTGAACTCATATTTTTTCTCTAATAAACCTGGCAATCGGCAACTGAAAATGACAGTACAGTAACATGGCGCGTCCATGTCTAACAGAGGCCGAGTAAGGATGAGATTTCGTATATGCACACATATAAACCGAGTATGTACACCTTTCTTTGAAGTCGGCCGGTGACTTAAGAGTGTAATTTACTCAATCGCTAAAAATAGTATTAAAAAGTTTTCAAACAGTAACACTTAAATAAAGTTTCTTGTTTCTAATTTACAAAACGACGGACTTCCATACAAACTTCCAACCCCTATTCCATCCATTAAGGTGAGAATATTCACAATCACTGAAAAGGATTTTTATTAATTTTTAATCAGTAACTAAAAATAAAGTGACACGTTTCTAACTTCAATAATGAATAACGGACTTCCATACAAACCAAGGTTGTTGCGAATATCAGCATCAGCATCTGTATCTGCATTTCGTGATTATCCCTTACGAAACAAAGCAAGTCATTACAAACAATATAGGACCAAGTATTGAGCCCAGCGAAACAACCATCCTAACTTTCGATCCAGGGGATCTTTTGGCATTGATATAACCCCCCTGCACTCTGTGAGTCAAATATGAAACTATGAAATCCATAATAATGAAATTTCCAAATTAATGTTTCATGAAAAACACAATCAAATTTAGCCTTAGATAGCACAGCCTCAGAGAGGTCACAGAAAACACCTAATGCGTTATGTGCACCCTCCCAGGCATCAAAAATTTCTTGTGCTAACTCAACACCAGCTTAGGTTGTTGATAATTTTATGCTATATGATATACAGTTTAAAAAGCGTTTCAAACATTGTTAAAACTAAAAAACTAGTTATGAAGTTTTCATTTGTAAATAATCTGTATAAACTTTTAAATATTATAATATCTTGAATATACACATTTCTTTAAAACACTTTATCCTTTTGTAAATATTTATAACTCAAAGAAAAAGGTTTATCAATCTTCGGGTTTTTCAAGTTCATTGACTTTATAATGTATTTAGCCAGCAAATGAAAATGAGAACTTAAAGCATAATACATAAACCTTTCTACAGCAGAATTATTCTTTGGTTTAAAAGTGATAATGACAATATAGGTTTTGGCATAAAATGAGCTTATCTGATAACAATCGATTTTAGAAAACTTTATACATGAGAACTGGCTAAGACACTGTAAGTGTGAAAAGTGGTTGTTATACCATTCTAACAAGTACCAAGTATTATGTATTATCTATGCTAACAAATTTCATATCTACCCCAATTTTCAGGTCTCCACTCGAGAGATACAACTTCAACTTTCATTACGCTAGTGGATACGACTACTAAATGATACTAAAGTCGGCGTTTAACATGTGGTAGGCTGGGGCTTTTAAGGCTTTTAGTTTACAAATTTATTTCTACCTCAGCACCACCATAAACTCAGATTCAGGTGAGCAAATAATTTTGAAATTCGAGGTTGTTGGTGAAAACATAAGTCAGAAGATAATTCCACCTAACTTCGAACATATCTTGTGTTCGTGTACCCCAGCTAATCGAACCATTACATTCAGGGTCCGTTGAAAGAATAGGTGACAGTGTTTCTTCGGAAATTGCCCTTCCGCTTTGATTGACATTAATTAACATGATTCATATATTTAAAAAAAATCGGATTCTATATAGATATTAAAATTTTAAAAAAATATTAGTATAGGTTCATTATTTTTGAAGAACAAATGGGGAAGTATTAAAAAAA